TATATTTCTACCCGTACAATGTATTGTTGGCTATTGCTACAAATATACCCCAGCGACTTAACACTGCTTTTGATGTATATATTTCAACAACAAAGAGTAGAAATAATTCTGTTATTAAAACGTTCTTTTACATTTGTTTGTCCTAAATTTTGGTTTCAGTAAATTCATTTTGGTGCATTAGGAAGAAAGTGTGTGTTCTCAAACACCTTTCGGAACGTTCTTCTTATTTTTCCTAACCTTGTCCTGAAGTGTGACGTGCTTTTGGTTCTGCTGCTAATGTTTGGTGGATGTGTGTTTGTCGCAGGTGGATCTGCAGTTTCCCAAGCTGGTTTCTGACGGCGCTCGGGATCTGATCTCCAAGCTGCTGCGTCACAGTCCAGCCATGCGTCTGCCGCTCCGCAGCGTGATGGAGCACCCCTGGGTCAAAGCCAACTCCCGCCGGGTGCTGCCACCCGTCTGCAACCCGCATCACTGACCTCAAGGACCCGTTTGAGACCTGCTGTGAGCGCTGAATGCCACCCGATCGAGGGCCGGATTCACCCGGTCTGTGTATATATATATATATATTAGGCAACATTTAATTGGTTATAAGCTTATTAAACTGTGACCGTTAATGAGCCGAGATGTAAACAAACTCTGAATTCTGTCTTGTTTAGCTGTAGTTCTGCTGTTCTGTTCATATCCGTGTTTTCTTATTCTGAATCTCTCTGATATAAAAATAAAAGCCTTCAGTATGTTTGGTGTCTCAAAACTCAAGTGATTAAACTCTTGATGCATTCAGGCTTAAAAGTGTGAGGATTTCTTCTGAAAACACTAGGAACATTAGTTACTTCCTTATCCTTCAACATGTTTTTGGTAGTAACTAGTTGGCTGCTACTGAAATATTGACCAGTTCCTCGGGGGGCGTGGGTTCGAATCCCACCGCTGCCACATCTTTTTCACACAGTCTGATATGAACGCTTTCGGATGCTAAACATGCCGTTGACTAGTGACGCAGTGAAGCTTCGAAACCTCTGCGAACCAGTGGTCTCGAACCAGTGTCTGGGATTTTTACCTGATCTCGGATCAGTTTTATCAGTTTGTGGACATTTTATGAGACATTTGTGGAATTAAAAGGAATAGTGGTTACTGGCCTCCATAAAACAAATAAAACAAGCCCCGAAAATGAATAAAAGAACACATTATTATGTTAATTGCATTTAATATATTATAGTATTAAAAAAAAACACATTTGGAATGGGTTTGTAAAAGCTGTATTTATTCATGTTTACACAGTTTTGACCAGCAGGTGTCGCCATATGGTGTTTCGAAACAGTGAAGCAATTTGTGAAGCAATTGATTCGAAGCCTCGAACAGGTTCGTTTCTCCCGTCGCTTACAGTAAAGCTTCGAAACCTCTCAGAGTCGTTTGATTCGAACCAGTGATTCGGAGCGCGTGTCTACGTGATTTCAGTAAACGAGTCGTTGGGTCATAATTGTTTCGAATAGTTCGCCATTCTCAGAGTCTATATGGTTTTTACCTGATCTCTGATCAGTTTTATCTGTATTTCACATGTATATCGCATTTCTAGACTTGCGGAATAGTTTCATATTGGCCTGATTAAAACAAACAAACCCTGCCAATTATACAGACACCTCATATTTAATGGTATCTGTTGATTGCATTTACTAGATTTCACCCTCAGTAATTTGTAAAAAGTGTTTTATGCTTGTTTCTGTTGCACGTACACCGTTTTGACCAGCAGGCGTCACTGTGGCGTTTCGAATCAGTGAATCAATTTGCGAATCAATTGGTTCAGTTGATTCAATGTTTCGAAAAGCTTCGCTTCTCCCACACTGCACTACAAAACAGATATTGCTCGTTTTCATTTTTATTAATTGTTAAAATTACTGATATTATATATGGATTGAGATGTCACTAAATAAAGCGTTAAAACACATTTTAAACACATTTTGTCAGTTGCAGCGTGTCCTTTAGATGGCGCTGAGTTTCCGCGCGTTTCTTCTTCTTCTCCTGTTTCCTGTGCGTGGTATGAAACTTCCGGCGGGTGTTTCATTCTGTAACGCGCAGCGGCGGATCGGTTGGTTTCGGAGGTTCCGCTGGCCCGAGTGCGGCCGGTTTCGGTTCCGCGCGTGTCGCGATGGCGGCGCTTCACCCCGGAGACCCGCAGCTGGTGTCGATGATCGTCAGTCACCTGAAGACGGAGGGTCTGTTCGATCAGTTCCGCAGAGACTGTCTGGCGGACGTGGATACAAAGGCAAAACACGCACACATTTACCTCACAACAACACCGAAGTACCTCGCTTTTAACACGGTGAAAACACGGTGTTTTCTGAAGTAACGTAAATAACCGTGGTGTTTCCGTCTTATACATCACAGACAGAACTAATAATGTATTTATAATTGGTTAATGTGTGTGAGAATGTCTTGATAAACCGCTTGTTTTTAAAATTCGCGCGCATTTATAATCTAACGGTCAGTTTAGCAGCTCACAGGTTTATGTTAATTAGTTATTTTGATTAGTGTCTTGTCTGAAAGCTCACATTGATGCGAAAAATTAACTAATAGCCTGTAATGTTTTGCTATGACACGAAATTCTGCTGCTTGTAATCTAAATCAGTGAGATAAAATGATCTAAATATCAGTGGTCGCTCTATATCTGCAGTAATCTGTCTCAGTAAAATGAGATTGAAATGATCCAAACATATAATGCAGTGATTGAGAGATGAAGAAATAAAGGCTCCTCAGAAGATGTGAGATGTTCTGGAGGCTTGTGAAGATCATTCCTCCGCTGAGGAACAGTGAAAGTAAAGCTTCTGGAAACAAACGCTCCTCAAAAGATCCTGAGGATCAGATTTGAGACTCTAAAACATGATTGATGGAGAATCAAGTAAAGCTGAGCTGCTTCAGTCCAGTAAGTGTTCATCTGGAGATATTACTGCAGTTATTCTGACGCTTACTTGATCAAAATCAGTCAAGATTTGACACGAGAAGCTCGAGCTGAAGCTGGACGTTTGTACAATTACACTAAAAGAGCTTCGACTGGATAAAACATCTAAACTATCAATCAGACGAAACAAGATGGAGTAGATTTCGTGCGACAGGTTAAGTTAACAGCAAAGTTTTGCAAAATCATTTAGAGGCCTTAGAAACAAGTCTCAAATATATACAGAAGCTTTATAGGGTTAATTTTGTTTTTTTTCTCTCAGCCGGCATATTTGCACTTATGACAGCGAGTCGATAACTTTGTGTCAAACCATCTGGCAAACCACACATGGAGCCCACAGCTGAACAAGAACCAGCTGAGAAACAGCATCCGACAGCTGGTCCTGCAGTACGTCTGTCTGTCTCACTGTCTGTCTGTCCGTTTCATTGTCTGTCTATCTCACTGTCTGTCTGTCTGTCTGTCTGTCTCACTGTCTGTCTCACTGTCTGTCTCACTGTCCGTCTGTCTCACTGTCTGTCTGTCTGTCTCACTGTCCGTCTGTCTGTCTGTCTCACTGTCTGTCTCACTGTCTGTCTCACTGTCCGTCTGTCTCACTGTCTGTCTGTCTGTCTCACTGTCCGTCTGTCTGTCTGTCTCACTGTCCCTCTGTCTCACTGTCTATCTTTCTCAGTCTGTCTGTCTCTCTCCTGTGCTTCATCATGTCTGTCTGTGTGGATCAGGTCCGGGATGCTGGAGCAGGGAGTGGACAGGATCGTGGCTCAGGTCGTCGATCCAAAGGTCCATCACTCCTTTCGGCCGCAGGTGGAGCGCGTTGTCCAGAAGTTTCTGTCTCCAAACGGCCACGTGGAGGAGGATGAACTTCCTCCTGTAGCTCCGCCCCTTCCTGCAGAAAACCAGGAAGCTGAACTGCTGACCGCAGACCACGGAAATGATGCCGGTGAGCTTCTCACATTTGAAGAATCTACTGTCTTCTCATTACAAATGATCCAGAACATAAGTCACGTTTTCTGGTGTTTCCAGCTGGGAGCTCCGGCGCTGATGTTCAGATCCCAGAGACCAGCGGCACTGACCCGAGCCACGAGCACAAAGAGGAGGAGATGGACATCAGCCTCCCCGAGGAGGAGCAGCACACCGCAGAGACGAAGGAGGAGCCGGAGGAACCGCAGCCTGGGAAAGAGGAAGAGGAGGAGAGAAGTGCAGAGATGAAGGTGAAGGACGAGGGAGACACGGGGAACAGCAGTAAATCCTCAGGGAAGATCAGAGAGGAGAACCGTGACACTGACTCCCAGAAACCCTCCAGTGTCAAGGCTCGAAATTGCGACCATTTTGGTCGCATATGCTCCCGAAATTTAATCTGTGCGACCTCAAAATATATTTGGGAGCATTTGTGCGAGTGCATGTAATTGTTGTCGTGCGACCTGTTTTAATTTCTGTGTAAATGCATCTAAATGCCACTTCAGATGAAGCTTCTGTGTTTCCTCTGCATTGCAAAGATGAATTTTGTTGATTGATACTTTCATTTGCTTGATAACAGCCCAAATGTCTTATTATAATTGACTGATTAAATATAAGAATTTGACTCAAATGATAATGCACACTTTTAGAAAAAATGGCTTTAAGGTAAAAATGACCATAAAAGGTAAAAATCTATTTAAACTTATTGGAAAAGATTCATTTCTGTCACTGCTGTGAACTGACCACCACACAGAATATGAATATTAAAAATTTTAGGAGTCAGCTGTCCACTGTAGTCCACAGTAACACTCAGTCAAATTATTGTTATCGATAAAATCCCAGAAAATATCGAGATATAATTTTTTGTCAATATCGCACACCCCTAGCTGCCAGCCGTTCGGTGCAACTGGCAGAGCTGAATGTAAAATTTAACACCGCATACACCATCCTAACCCTCGCCAAAGAAGAGCTTAACTTTAGGTTATTTACAAAAGAAATTTGTCAGTGTTCTTTTCATTTTCTCTTCTTCAGCCCTTCTTTTTCTCGCGGTAGTTAGCGGAAAGCAGTGACTGAGAGATTGACAGCTAATATTAACCAATACAAAATCTGCATTAAAGTTAAGAATGTAAGGATAAAATCTGTTAATATATAATTTGTAGTTGTGGTGCTCCTAAATTTTTGGTGAGTGCTCCTAAATTTTTGCTGATGCTCCTAACTTTTTGAAGTTGGGAGCACCAGTGCTACCAAGTAAAAAAGTTAATTTCGAGCCCTGAGCGTCAAACAGAGGACCAGAGAGAGACTGAGGGAAGGTACGACAGCAAACCCAATGAATCCTACATGCCACTTGGATTTTATGAGCCTTTTGTTCTCTCCTCTTGTGTGTTGCACTGATTGTGTTTCATTCTGGTGCACCCAAATTCATTTTTAGTGAAGTTTTCATTTAGCAAATTTGGGTAATTAAATTTGGGTAGTTGAACCCTTTGTGCTGTTCAGAATGTGATTTTTCTAAGTTATAAATAACACAAAGATTACCAGAGAATGTTTTTCAAGAAAATACTACTTCAAAATGTCACGTGTATTTCTTGTCTTTACTCCCTGTAATTATTTGTGAAATTCACTAGCAGTTTCTGAGTGAAAATGGTTTCAAAGTAAGTCCTACACCAAATTGTTTTCAGTCATTGTAAAGTTCTTCGGTAGCAAGCCGCATCTTGATATTTCAGCCAAACAAATTGCACTTATTACAATAACATGATTTTTGGTGGCACTACTGTAGGTTATTTTTGTTTTGGACATGAAGTAGATACTGACTGTTAAAACACCTCATCAGAGGAGCACTGACTAAACATCAATGCTCA